TGGCCACACTGTTCCCCACAGAAACCAGGATGCTGTTGGCCTGCTTGGCCAGCTGGGCACACTGCTGGCCCATGTTCAGCTGCTATCAACCAACACCTCCAGGTCCTCTTCTGCCCAGAGGAGGAAAATATCTGCTGAGGTTTACTTGCCCTGGGCTTGCAGCCATGGCAGGGAGAGGCTGGATGAGCTGTGCTTGCTCTCTGCAGGGTACAGGCACTGGCATGCAGACCTGCGCCCCGATGATACCCCCCTAGAAGCAGGTTTGGCCTTCACCTGCAAGCTCAAGTCCAGCATCCCCTTCCTGGGCCGGGAGGCTGTGGAGGCTCAAAAAGCCAAGGGCATCTTCCGCCGTCTCGTCTGCTTCACCACTGAGGAGTGAGTACCAGCTCCATCAGCTGTCCCCACCCAGCCCTGCGCCCAGGCACGCACGTGGAGCTCCATTGCAAGCCAGCTCAGCTGTTTTCCATGCTCTAATTCCATCTCTAATTTAAATCCCACCGTGAATTCCCTGCTGGATGTTTAATGGGAGTTGGAAGCAGTGTGACGGGGAGTGGGTTTATCTTGTTTCACCCAGAACAGCAGGAGGTTTTGCAAATGGGGCTGGAGGGGCTTCACCAGTGCCTGGGATCAGCGCTGGAGGTTAATGAACCTGTGGGCAGTGGGAGCTCTGGCACGTGGGCTGGCATGGGGTAGAGCTGGGGTCTGGTCCCCTCAAACCCCTCTCCCTCATGGGGTCCCAATGTGGGGCTTTGCTGAGAGCAACTCTGCCTTCACCTGGCAGGAAGGTGCCGATGTTTGGCCTGGAGGCAGTTTGGAGGGACAGCAAGGTGGTCGGCCACATCCGTCGGGCAGACTTTGGATTTGCCATCGACAAAACCATCGCCTATGGCTACATCCATGACCCCACGGGGGGCCCGGTGAGTACAGACCCCCTGCTGCTACCAGCCCCTGGGGACAGCTGCACATCCCTTCCTGCAGGGGTGGTCTTGCTGAGGGCATAACTGGCACTTGTTTGGTTTGGAAGCCATCTGCTCGACAGGGAGCTCATGGCAAACCTGTTGCTGTCTAGGGAGCACGATGGGGCAGCCCCCCTGTGCTTCCCCTGCATTGGAGGCTAGAGGGGGAGGGATGCCAAGGCTTGGTGGCTGCTGCTCTGCAGGGCCATGGTGATGCTCTGTGGCTCAAGCGCTGCCTCGGGTGCTAATTGCCACTGAGAATATTTAATTGCAGCACTGAAAATGTATGTTGTAGTGGCCAATCAGAACGCAGCAGGTTCTTAATTAAGCCTGGGATACTCCTGGGTAGTAAATCAGATGCCCCCACTTAGCAGCAAGCTGTAGGCGGAGGCCAAGGGCTCCGTGTGGGGCAGGGGGCTGTGGATGACATCCCCAGGGACCCTCCCTGTTACAAACCCTGAGCAGTTTATATCCTTGTGCTTTCATCCTCTCGCTTGCCTCGACTTTTCATCCTTCACCAGCATGAGACTCCCAGGCCAAGTGGTTTTGTGTTCCAGTTGCTTCCGCAACCCCCCGGGAACCACCTTTTCTCCCCACGCTGGATGTTCCTCCCCTTAGACCTTCCTTTCCCATTCTTTCCCTCCTTCCTATCCCATGTCTCTCATGCAGCTGCCCCTGCAGGATGGGGAGGTGGGGATGGGACCCCTCCTGCCCCGGAGAGGTGCCGACAGGGCAGAGCGATGCTGAGCTCGTCCTCCCCGGCTGCATCCATCACACTGCCCTCCCCACTTCCACACCTGCCTCAGGGAAAGCTCTGCAGAGGCAGCAGGGATGTGGTACCAGGCTCTGCTGGGGCTGAAATGGCCACGGTGGGGAGAGGTGGCTCTGCCATGGGGTCCCCAGCCTGCCCAGGGTGCAGGGAGAGCCCTGCCATGGGGCTGGGACACCGGCCGGGGCTGCTGCAGCTCCCAGCACCTACTGGGGGTCTCACCCTGGCTCTGCCCTTGCAGGTCTCCCTGGATTTTGTGAAGAGTGGCAGCTACGAGCTGGAACGGATGGGAGTGACCTTCCCTGCCCGAGCACACACCAAGTCCCCGTTCGACCCGGACAACAAGCGAGTGAAGGGCTTTTACTGAGAGCGGGGCCGGGGATGGAGGAGGGAAATGCCATTAGGAGCTGCCGGCTGAATTCCTGGCCCCGGGGTGTCCCAGCTCCAGGGCCCGCTGGGAGAACCAGGCAAAACGTCTGCAGCCAACTCATCAAGCAAATTTGGGTCAAATTAGAGGGGAAGAGGGAGAAAGAGATTCCAAAAAGTGCAAAGATTTTGTTCCTGTGTTTTCTAAATGAAGCAGCACCACTACAGCAATCATTATTTTCCATGGCTTAATTTGCCTGAAAACAGTGTTTTGCTTGACTGCAAATGAAGTGGTTTCAATTTTTTACTTTGCTGGAAACACTTTCCCCTCAAATGTAGTTTCACACTGCCTGGAAATGAATTTTTTAAACTAACTCTGCTGTTAATACAGCCTCCAAACCTGCTGCTGCTCTGGTCCTTGCTCTGGTGGGTGTCATCTTGTCCTGGCTGTGCCCTGGGAACCCACTACTGGGGTGGGAACACTCCTAGGGGTATGGGGAAAAGGGGCAGGGGGCCCAGGGCCATTGCCCAGGCTGACACCATGAGTGTTCTCCCTGCTGGAAATGCTGGGTCTACCCAAGGGGTTTCCAGACATGTTCTTCCCGTCTCAGCAAGCACAGATTCATCCCTCCATCCTGTCTTTCCCTGGTCAGAGTTGGAGATTCAGGTCCTGCTTCAGCAAAATGCTTCATTGTGGCTCCAAGGTTTAATGGGAGCTGAAGCACCTACTTCTGTTGCCTTCAGTGGTAGTTGGCACCTGAGACTCTTTCAAAAAATGAAGCCTGGGGGGAGAACTGTTCAGTGCCTGCTTTGATTTTGCTCATGGTGCTTAAGTGCTGTCTCAGTGTGTGGTGGTTGTGTGGAAGGTGGGGAGGGTCGACCCTCCCCACACCTGGACAAGGACCTTACCCATTGGTGGGTGGGCAAGAGTTAAAGCAAGTCCCAGGTTTGGGCTGTGGCAGTGGGAGCACGTTGGTGCCCCAGGTTTGACATGAGGGCAACACGGTGGGGCTGTGCAGCCCTGTGATGCTTAACTGGGGAGAGATTCTCATGCTGTGCCCCAGAGGATAAGAAATTCCCAAAGACAAAGGCAGTTGTCATCTGGTTCGTTGCTCTGTGTGTGTGTCTATGTGTAGACTCTGAATTTGGAGGAGAAGGAAAAAGTATTTGATTAATGTTTTTGCCCACGGCTGCTTTGCTGGTACAGTTTGTGTTTGTGTCTCCTGCTCCCAGTACCCGCTCAGCGCTGTGGTGTAAACTCACTGGCTGGGACACCAACACCAGGGCTGCCTTTGGCCCCAGCTCAGCCATCCCATCTGCTCTGCCAGCATCTTCCCAAAGGTCACCTTGGAGGTGGCTCCTTCCAGCTCCTGATGGAGAGGGGGCTGCACGCAGAGGCTGAGCCACACGCTGCCAGCCCTGCAGCCTCCAGCAGTGCAGAGCCAGTCTTGGAGGCATCTGGGAAGGGCTTTCAACACATCCACACAACCCATGAACCTCTGGCTGCCAAGAGGAAAGGATGGCTGCTCCCAGCCTGGCCCAGTAATCATCCCTTGCTCTGCTCCCCTTGCTGGGCTCCATCTTCTGCAGTGCAGTGAGGGCTGATCCCTGCTGAAGCTTTCACCCGCCTGAAGAAACGATCACGCTGCCTGCTTTTCTCTTTATTTCCCTTGACTAGCTTTGCGTGGTTTATACCCTCTTTAGAGCTGATTTCAATTCCTTAGCCTCATGCAACAAGCGCCACAGGCAAGAGTTTGAATTCTCAAATGCTTTGGTTTTACTGGAAACATTGCAAAAACAAGATTGGGTTGAATTTTTCTCTGAATAGGAGGTGATTGCACTCCCCAGTTCTGCCCACGGGGAGGGCAGAGGAGGAGGTGGCCACAGGCCTGTCTGTTTGTCCTGGGGATAAAGGAGGGACCAGGCACGCTGCCTCCCTGCTGAGCACTGTGTGCCTGCAAAGATAATGCTTTGCTTCAAAAGGGCCTTTCTGATCGGTGGTGCTCTGACCTGAGACTTTCCCATAAACCCAAGGTGGCCAGAGGGCAGGTTTTGGCTGCTGCTCTGCCCTGGATCCCACCCTGCCCAGGGCAGTGAGGGGCAGGCAGCCAGCTGGGATGGACAGGCTCTCCTGCAGCACCCCCAGCCTTTTCTCTGCTCCCCACCAAGTGTTTTCCTTTGCAGCTCAACAGCAAAAATACATTTTTCCTTTTTTATTTTTTTTTTTCATTTAGGTATTTAATGGGAGTAATTTTTCCTACAAAAAGGTTTGTCTCTCCTCTCCTGTGTTCCTCCCCCCGCCCCCATCCCTCTCCCTTTCCAAATCCCACCACAGAGGTATCATTTGTTCCCAGTCACTGGGCATCTGGTGGAGTCAAGAGGAATAATCCCCAGTGTGGGGGAGTGGGAGGAGGAGCAGCAGGGAGGTGAGCACCAGGTGGGCATCACAGCATCCTTCCTTCCCTCCATCCCTGCCGAGGGTGCCAGCATGGGAGAGCTCCCACGGAGCCTCCCTGAGCTAGATGGGACTGTGGGGCACTGGGAAGGCTTGTGTGCTGCTCCCACGCAGATCTGTGCTCCGTGCCTCAGTTTCCCTGCAGGAAAACAGGCTTCTCCCCCCACCCCCTCCCCGGGGCCGTGCTGAGTTGGGCACAATAGCAAACCTCCACGTTATGATTCTGGGGGTGGAAAGCAGCATTACTCAGAGCTGGGATTGCTAATAATGCACTAAATATAGCGCTTCCCATCTCCAGGGTACTTTCTGAAGTCTTAACTCAGGAGCTCTAACCCCCTCTGGAGAAAAGGGGCCAGGGCAGGGGCTGGCATTGCTGCGTGGGCAGGACGATGATCCCTGTGGATGCTTCTGCCTGGAGGTGCTTCCTGTCGTGATGGAAGGAGTGGGCAGGGGGTCAGTCCCTCCTGGGCTTGCCCAGCTTGAGGGGCACAGGGGCAGCAGGCCAAGGCCCCAGGGCAGGTGGGCAGTGAGGGACAGGCTCCTGCAGCCTCTCGGTGATGGTGGGAAGCACCTGCTTCTCCCACTTGCCCTGCAAGAGAGTTTGACACCATGAGACCCAGTCAGGTTTTTGGGTACCTGGAGGTTTCCATGTTTCTTCCTACTTGTAAAAAAGGAAATTATCTTTAATATTTGCAGTGTTTTTAGCCTCAACCAGGATGTTTTCTGATGAGACAGTACTAATTATTTGTATTGCAGAAGCCACCTACGCATCCTCTTAGCAGCACAGGCATCTGCTGTGCACCACTTTGCACAAACCCACCTCACTTAGGGAGTTTCCACCCCAAAAAGTGTTACCCACCAAATCAGATGGAGACAAATCCAATCAGGGAGTCCCACTGACCCACCGTGCTCTCAGCCCAGCCCAGCAACCCTGCTCTTTACCAGATATTGGTAGGAAGGTTAGCTGGAGATGACATTTGCAGTGCTCCAGTGTGGATGTTCATGTGCAGCTGCTGCAAAACAGGAGGGACACAGCAGCCTGGACAAGGTGCCACGGGGCAGAGCCAGGGAAGGGCTGTCACAGCCATATGGGCTCAGGGTGACCACAGCCAGGACCAAACCCCCAGCTCCATGCATTGCATGGGGGCACCTTGTCTTAAGGATGCTCCCTGCAAGGACCAGTCTGCTGGAATCAGTGCCAAGGGCTGAGCCCATTGGGCAGGATCTAGCTCAGATGTGACTTGTTGGTCCAGATTAGTGGCCGGGAGAGATGCAGGCAGGGGCTGTGAGGGTGAAGGGGGATCAGCCTGGGCTGAGCTGTGGTTCAGTGATGCTCTGGTTTGGCTGCCGGCTGCGCGTTCATGCGCAAACATCAGCGAGAGGCTGAGCAGGAGAAGGGAGGTCTGGAGAGGAGAGGTAGAGCCATGAGTCATCTGCAGGGAGCTGAGAGTTGAATTTATGTTTTCAGATTAAATTGCTTTTCAAGTGAAACAGGGCAGAACCCTCACCAGCACCAGGAAAACCCTGGAGGTAGATGGAGGGTGATGGGGAGACGCTCCCAAAGCACATGGGGAGTGACCAGAGAGGGAGGAAATGTCCAGTTTTGGGCACCTCAATTCAAGAGAGATATTGAGGTGCTTGAGTGAGTACAGAGGAGGGCAAGGAAGCTGGTGAAGGGCCTAGAGAAAAAAAAATCTTCTGAAGAATGCTTGAAGGAGCTGGGAATGTTTAATTTGAGGAAGAGGAGGCTGAGGGGAGACGTCATCAGTCTCTACAACTACCTGAAAGGTAGAGGTTGGTGCTGGTCTCTTTTCATGGGTAATTAGTGACAGAACAAGAGGGAATGGCTTCAAGCTGCAACAGGACAGGTTTAGACTGGACATTAGGAACATTTTTTTCACAGAAAGAGTGGTCAGACACTGGAATAGGCTGCCCAGGGAGGTGGTTGAGTCACCATCCCTGGATGTGTTAAAGGGTCATTTGGATGTGGTGTTGGTGGATGTGGTTTAGGGGAGAACTTTGTAGAGTAGAATGATGGTTGAACTCAGTGATCCCAAGGGTCTTTTCCAACCTGAATAGTTCTATGATAGGGGAGCACAGAGAAATTACTGGTTTGCTGTAACCTTATGGTTTAAGAGAGCAGTTCAGCATGTTTGAGGTGTACCTGCTCCAGGGGTTAGCCCTGACCCTGAGCCTGTCTGCTGCAAAGTCCTGCCATGCCAACACATCCTAACCCATTCTGCTCACACCTGACCTGCTTTTGGGGTAGATGAAAGGCATTTGGAGTGTCTGGGTAGCTGTTGTTTTCAGTGCTTTGAGTGGAAATCAGAACACAGGGAGTTCTCTGAGTCCTTGCAGGTGCAGAGGACTTGGGGACGGCGACATCCCCGCAGCCACTCACAAATGTTACCTTGAGATTTTGTTCAATAATTAACAGTTCTCAGTCCTTCCAGAAATCTTGTCAGGTTTGGGATCACTGAACTGCAAGAACACAAGCTTAATTAGAAGCTGGCACTTTTCTCTTGGCAGAAACAGTGTGGAACAAATGAGATGCCTTAAAATCGGCCTCGCTCTGAAAACACGGGTGGAGCAAGAGGAGCAGCTCAGCTCCTTCACCCTCCCTGAGAGGCTTGTGACCCATTTTGTGCTGGCATTGGCTCTGCTCCATTCGAGTCTCTTCCTGGACACTCCCCAGACTCCTCTGAAATCAAGAGAGCTGTCTGGGCTGTAATTTAGAGGCTTAATTCACAACTCTGCTGCTGCACCAAAATTCTGTGCCACTTTGGTCCCTGCAGCAGGGCTCTGCATGGCTGGGGGGTGCTGGGTCTCTGGCTCCAGGGAACTGGAAAGGTTTTTTTGCCCCCTCCAGAGAAGATTTTGCTGAAGGCATTTTACTAGGGCAGAGCACTGCTGGTCTTCTCTGCTCAGCATCCTCTGGCACTGCAGTGGGTAACACTGGATCCAGGCATAGCTTCTCATGTAAGTGTATTACACTGATAAGTGGTGCTGGGAGCTGATGGTGATATGGACCACCCATGGTTTTAAATCATCATAACCATCACTGCTGGGCCTGGTTTTTCTGTAAAGACCTCATGGCCCTTTATCCTTCAGGTTGTTCTGGATCACCACGTTTGGAGGCTGCACAGATGCTGCACCTAATGAGCTCACTCTGCTGGGACCTGATGTGATTTGCCAAGATCCTAAAAACCACCTCGTGTTTCTCCTGGCTTCTGGAGCTAGTCCTGCTTTAACACTCAGCGAGAGCAGCCTCAGAATCACTTTATGCAAATGCATCTCCTAATTGCGTCTGGCCCAACACATCCACAGCAGCCCAATCCATATTGTTTTAAGCACCAGGTTTGTGCTGGGCTCAGTGTCCTGCTGACACCAGGGTTTCCTGGGCAGCTCCAGCTTCTTGCCCTGAGCCCGCCAGGTTCAACCCCATCCTGAGCACTGGAGACTGACCCATCTCACCAGGGTCACCCTGCTGTGTGGCTCTGCCAAGCTGATTTTTACCTATGGGTGGGAGTTTTGGTGTGAAGCTTTGGCATGAAGCTCTGGCTGTGCAGCTGTACCTACCGGGAACCGGACAGCCGAGGATTTGTTGCAGTGCACCGAGATGGGGGCAAAGCTGTAGAGGGATTTCAGCACATCCCTGTTGAACATGTTCCAGGGGATGGAGGAAAACTGCTGCGGGACGGAGACCTGCGGGCACATGCAGACCTCCTCGTCGTTGAACCTGGGGCAGGAGAAACATCACGCTGAAACACAGTCCCCTTTCTGTGCTGGATGTGTCTAATTCCTCCCTGCCTAAAGCTCACCCTAGCACAGCTCCTAAGTCAGTTCTAGGAGCAGGAAGAGCCTGGCACAGCTGGTACCTGCTGGGGAAGATTTGGGACCAGCTGGACTGCCCGTGGGTAGGACCCTCTGTGCACGGTCAGCATCTTGCCCCTGTCATCACGGGTGAATGTGCTGCAGCCAGCTTCCCTGGCAGGGATGCTGGGCTTCTGCCTTGGGTTATGAGAAGTGTTTTGCACTTGGCCATATCCTGACTCTTGCAGGTAAGTTCCTCCCTAGGAATGCTTTCCCTTTCCTGGTGGTTCTCACTACACAGCCGTTCTTTAGAGCCTTGGCTTGGGCTGCCAGCTCTGGGGCAGGGAGGTCAGGACTTTGCTCCAGCACACAGCCACACGTCCTGAAACCTACACTGCCTGAGTGCCCCACAAACCCACAGCACAGCCAGCACCTCAAACTCCACTTTTTTCAACTTTTTTCCAGTGTAACTAGAAAAGGGCTCTGCAGTGGTCCCTCTCCCCTCAGCACTGCTCTGTACCTGTTCACGAGGTTGAAGTATCGGTGCAGGTAGCCAGGATCCACGGCACTTTTGCACAGTTCCAGCTCTGTCTGGGGGTAGTAGTGCACGTAGTTCACACACATCTCTTCCAGGAGGCCAAGCCCACCCTGTGGCACAGACACAAACTTGGTAGCAGGGCCCACCTCTGTCCTGCCAGGGCTGCTCAAGCCACAGGGAGGGCAAGAGGGGCACAAAGCTCACACCTGGATGTGCACCTATGCACATGTGCACACACACACGTATAGATATGTATATGCACCCTGTCAGGTACATGGCCTGGGCCTCACTCTGTTCATCTGCCCCTCCAACCTTTACACAATACCAGAGTTTCAGGCTAGATCGTGTGGTTTACATCAAAATGCAGATTTCCTATAATCCCTCTGCTATATTTAGCTCTGTCTCTGTTGATGGTACCTCTGACAGGCTCTTTTTTCTTGCTGCCTATGTAAGAAAATAACATGCACTGTCAAAAAATGCCACTTCTCCTTAATTACAATTAATCCCCAATGGAACAGTTTGTGATGGGAATTAGAGTGACACATAAGACTCCTCAATTAGCACCTTGACATCCCTGCTGCATGCAGCAGAGCCATGGGGGTTGGCTGCTTTACCACCCTCCCCCTGGTTTCTGGCTGTGATTCAGCCCGGGTTGAGGCAGGTGCCCATTTTGGGGGTGCCCCCAGCCCCAGGGTGTGAGCCCACCCCAGTTCTGGGCAGGCAGGGCTGTGCTGGGTCCCACACTCACCACAGTGACATTGCTCCGGTCCTCCGTGTTGTAGGTGCAAGTTGTGATCAGCTCGTCGCCCTGGGAGGGTGTGAACAGACAGGTGTAGCTGTGAGGGTGCAGTTTCCCCTCCCCTCTCAGTAAATTTGAGGATCAGGGAGTTTAGAATGAAGCAGATCTCTGCTCCCTGTAGTGGTGCCAGCCCGTGGACACCCTGTTTCTCCACCAGCCATGGGAGCATTTACAAAACCTGCACCCCATGAGATGATTCCCTAGGGTTGCATCCTAGGGATGGTGTTTCCTGCTTTTCTCACTTTTTAAGCATTTTTGCAGGGCTGAAGCACCTGAAAAACATGCACTTAGGCAATAATTTGAATCACCAAACCTGTACCCAACTTGATGGCACAAGTGTCCCTCCCTACCCCAGTCTGTGCCATGGGGATGCCCTGGAGCACAGCCCTGTCTGGGGTTTCAATGGGTGCTGAGGTGTCTTGAGCAGCCTCCTGAGGCCTGATGGCTCCCATCAGTGCCCTCTGCTTTGCACCATTAAAGCCCCAGGCCATGCTCAGCCTCTGTTTTACCACCCACTCCCACCACTTTCTCTGCCAAATCTCTTCCTCTCCTTCTACCAAGTAAGGGAGGGGGCATCTCGAGTGTGTGCATGGTTTGCCCTCACCCCCTGAAGAGCCTCCCCCTGATAGAGGAAGCCCAGTTAAATTAGATGCTTAATTTAGCTCCCAGCTTGGTTTGGTTGCCCACACATTGGTTTTGTGCCACGTTAGATGAGCCTTGGTGTCCCCAAGGCATCTGCATGGGGGTGGCAGATATGACCTGGGGATCACAGGGAGCGTGTCCTCCTTGCAGCCCCCTGGGAGATCCCAGATGGCAACAGGAGGTGCCAGCAAATCCCACGGGACACAGCTGCTGGTGGAGGGGATGAGGTGGTGTAAAGGAATTGAAGGTCTCCAGGCTGTGGGGTTGGGGGGAAGGTCTTTGTGCTGTTTGGAAGCCACCAAGATTCCTGGAGCCACTCACCGGAAAAACTGCAACCACCTCCTTCAGCATGCGGATCTCCTGGGAGGGAAGGAAAAAGCAAGGCTGTGGTCCTGTGCCCAGCGCAGCCCTAGAATGGACATCCCAGCCCCCCACAGACCCCTGTACCTGGAAGTGAGGGCTGTAGTGACCGTCGGCGTTCACGACCTGCCGCTCTCTCCCATCCCGGGCCAGCACCGTCACCACTTTCCTTCCCGTCAGGTGAGTGTGGAGCTGGGAGGCGAAGATGCGGATGCCGGCAGCAGGCAGAGCCTGAGGGGAGGATGGCTAAGGCCCCCGAGCCCAACCCCACTCCTCTCCCCTCCTGCACATCCCCTCCCGTGTGCTCAGGACCAGCCGTCCCTGCGCTGGTTGTCACACGGGGCTTTAGGGGACCGATGTGCCCTTGGGGCAGTGCAGAAGTGAGGTCCCCCCAGAGGGACAGAAGCTCAATCCACTGCCAAACCCGATCTGTGCACTGCCCCGGCTCAGCAGGAGCAGCTGCTTGTTTCCTTGCATTCATTAGTGGTGGCCCAAATGATTCCTTTTGGGTGGGCCCTACAAAAAAACATCCACTAAGACTTCCCTGAGGGCAAGGTGGGCATTTGGAAACCATTCTGAGGAGAGCTCCTTGGAAGCAGAGGCCGATCTTTCCATCTCTGGGGGGGAAAGCACCGCCAGCTCAGTGGTGAATTTTATGGGAATGGTACCCCAGGGAGCCGGAGCAGATGGCTCCTCAGGAGAGCTGCTTCGAGAGGGATTCAGCACATCCCAACCAGCTGCTCCCTGTTTGTTGTGCGTGGCAGATTTTTCTTCCCAGCGCAGCCTCATGGTGAGAGGGTTGGGGAGTTCAACACTGGGAATTGGAAGCCTAGAGCTCAGCGCTGCAGAACTGCTGCCTCGGAGGAGCCACGTGCAACCTTTCTTTTCTGACAGGGAGCAGGGATGGAGAGGATGGGCACTCACCTGCTGGGTGCATTTGTCAGTGCAAGGCCCCCGAGCCCAACCCCACTCCTCTCCCCTCCTGCACATCCCCTCCCGTGTGCTCAGGACCAGCCGTCCCTGCGCTGGTTGTCACACGGGGCTTTAGGGGACCGATGTGCCCTTGGGGCAGTGCAGAAGTGAGGTCCCCCCAGAGGGACAGAAGCTCAATCCACTGCCAAACCCGATCTGTGCACTGCCCCGGCTCAGCAGGAGCAGCTGCTTGTTTCCTTGCATTCATTAGTGGTGGCCCAAATGATTCCTTTTGGGTGGGCCCTACAAAAAAACATCCACTAAGACTTCCCTGAGGGCAAGGTGGGCATTTGGAAACCATTCTGAGGAGAGCTCCTTGGAAGCAGAGGCCGATCTTTCCATCTCTGGGGGGGAAAGCACCGCCAGCTCAGTAGTGAATTTTATGGGAATGGTACCCCAGGGAGCCGGAGCAGATGGCTCCTCAGGAGAGCTGCTTCGAGAGGGATTCAGCACATCCCAACCAGCTGCTCCCTGTTTGTTGTGCGTGGCAGATTTTTCTTCCCAGCGCAGCCTCATGGTGAGAGGGTTGGGGAGTTCAACACTGGGAATTGGAAGCCCAGAGCTCAGCGCTGTAGAACTGCTGCCTCGGAGGAGCCACGTGCAACCTTTCTTTTCTGACAGGGAGCAGGGATGGAGAGGATGGGCACTCACCTGCTGGGTGCATTTGTCAGTGCAGTACCCTGTGAGGATGAAAGCCTCCTCTCCCGGGGGAATGGCCATCACCGGCGTGTAGACCAAGCCCAGCTCCATGATGCCGGCGTCGTAGCGGCGCAGGGTGGGTGTGTGGTAGAGGCGGATGCCCGAGGAGTCACGGCGACCTGGTGGGTGGGAGAGCCAGGCTGCAAGTCACCACGGGAGAAGTGACAGCTGCCAGGACAAGGTCAGGCGTGAAAAACGCCGCTGTGCTGCAGTGAGGAGGCACCAGCCTCTTGCTTGCAGCTTTCTTCAGGTGCGGTTCTTCTTTGGCTTGAAATCCTGTCTGTTCTCATGCAGGTCTTAACTGAGTGACCCCAGACACATGTCTGGTCCCATTGCTACCAGGAGGGCAAGGTGGGGAGTACCTTTTGCCCAAAGCAAAAGGACAGATCATGAGGTGCTTCGGAGAACTCCCTCAAAAATATGGTCCATTGCATCTTCTTTCACTGATACATCCAAAGAACTAAGGCTGTGCTCTGTTTAGGGCCTGGCAGGAGGACACATGCCCATGGAGCAAGTGCTCCTTGCCCATGATGTGCCCTGTGCTGACCATGGGGCAGGTGGAGGCAGCAACAAGCTCTGCTGAGATGCAAAGCCAAGCTCAGGCTCCCATTTGCCACCCAGCTTTGTGAGCAAAGGAAAATAGCAGGTTCAATAGGTCAAGGGGGGTTCAGGCTGGCTTTGAACCCCCTGTCTCTGTGGCTGGGGTGGGAGTCTACCCAGGGATAAGAATAACAGGGGAGGCCCTATTGGTTAACACACAGAAGCAGATAGATTGTGAAGGCTGACAGCTTTGTATTTATAGATGTGTTTCTTCTCTGGTTGCTGAATGTGCTATGACTGATGTACGGTACATATGCTCTGGTCTCCTAAAAATATACTTGGGTAGTCAAGAAGCTACTTGTTTTTATGTAAATGAAGAGACTGGGTTGTTTAGATTTTTTTTTTTTTTTTTTTTTTTTTTTTTTTTTAAGTAAGATGTGTCTCCTGACAATGTTATTGAAGCAGAAGTACCAGTAACACAACATCTAAATTCCCCCATCCCCAGCCAGGCTTCTGCTTTCTCTTTGGCACCAGTGCTGCTCTTGGCTCTAAACACAGACCCACCACCTTGCAAAGAAATTGGGGGAGGGGGGTATTCTGTGACAGCCCAAATAAATAACAGTATTGCCTTGGACCCTGGCCCTGCAGGAACGATGAGCAGGAGTGGCTTTGTGCCTGGGGGGGCTGTGGGCTCAGGTTCCCTCCCCTGAGCACCCCTCCCCACAGCTGGGCATGCACAAGGATGGGGTCCAGGCTCTGGAGAGGATGACTTCCTGAGACTAGAATGGCAGCAGCATGGTGGGAATTTCATCTATTCCTCCCCTTACCACAGATCTGGACCATGAGGTCTCCAGAAATTTGCAAAAAGAGCTGTCATTTTGGCAAAGTTTTCTTCTCTTTAAAGCTCAGGGTGGCAGTTGCTGGCATTCACCCAGCTCTCCTGCCACTGTCTCGCTGGGAAGACACCAGGCATCACCTCCTGCCCACTCACCTTCAAACACCAGGGGATTGTGGTAATGAATCTCCAGCCGCAAATACCTGGAGGACCCCGGGCCACCAAAGGCAACACCTGCTTCTTCAGGGTAATAGAAAGCCTGGAAGCAAAGGGAAGGTGTTAGGGGAGTGGTGGGCCTGGGTGATCCCAGCAGGGACCAGGTTTGGGGCAGCCTGTGTGGGGCAATCCCAAGGTGGGAAAGGGAAGGGTTGGGAGGCAGCAGGAAAGCATCTGGGAGCAAAGCTTTTACCCAGGTCAGGGGGTCCCATCTTGTACCCACCTGTGCTCCCATGGCCCAGGCTGCAAGCACGTGCCTGCAGTACTTGAGCCTCTCTGGCTTCATCTTGGATTCGCAGGGCCCATTGTAGTGGGGGAAGCTGTCAAACTCAGGACTGCACTGGAAGACTTCCATGTGGTGGACCAGGGCCTCGTTGCCCGCCGTGATCACTGGCTCATACTGCAAAGCAACATCCAAGAATGAGGACACATTAAGACCATCTGCTGAGAGTCCATCCCTGGGAGCTGCTCTCTGTGCAGGCTTCACGAGGAGCCCAAAGCAGGTATGTCTGCTACTGACCGGGATACAGGTTCTGCTGTGTGGTGGGGAGGGAAGGTTGCTCTGAGCATGAGGCACCAAGGGCCAAGAGCCCTTGGTTGGCTTTGAGACCAACCCAGAGCCTGCCAGAACCCATAGAGAAGTATCTTCTCCCTTCTCCAGCAACAGCTGCACCTGATCAGCAGAAGATCTTGGTCTACTTTGTGATGACCAAGTTCTCTGCCAGTTTTGCAAGGCTGAGGTGACCCTGGGGAATTTGTTTTTTCCTAAAGAAGATCTTGGCCACATTGGGGCAGCTCAGCCTGCAGATATTGGGTCTTGTTTCTAGTCAGCAGCTGCTTGGAGCACAGGGAGGAGGATCTGGGGTAGGAAGAGTGACTCCAAGCAGGCCTGAGGAGCAGCTCTAGCTGCAAGCGCCAGCTGCAGCAGCGGGAAGGTAGCGGGAGTTACGCACTTTTTACTTACACACAGATGATTCATTTCACACCATCTGTTAGCGAGAAAATCCTCCTTCTGAGCTTTCCTTTGCAGCGCCGTCTCTCCCCTGTAAATCACCCAGCCCTCCCTTCAGCTCGTGTGTCAGGTTTTCCCCCTCTCCCTGGCGTGGTTTTGCCTCTGGCTGTGCCAGGTCCTGTGCGGAGCTACCTCCGCGCCCACCAGGGCGACGCTCTCCCGGCAGCTCGTGATGATCATGATCTTAAAGATCTTTTCCAACCAGAATGATTTGGAGTGATTCTGACATGTAGATATGGTGCTTTGGGATATGGTTTAGCCCTGGACTCGGCAGAGTTGGGTTAGTGGTTGGACTCAATGATCTTAAGGGTCTTTTCCAGCCAGAACGATCCTGCAGTGTTGGGTGGGTGGGTGCTGTGCCTGCCTCCTCCAGCACTTGGCTGCCTGCAGGTTTCTGCCTCTCCTTTGAGGAACATGCCCCAGGCATTTGCAACACACCTGGGCAATGCACACAAGTTGTGTTTACATCCATAACCCTTTTTTTTTTTTTTTTTAATATGCCTAATCTTTTAGAAGCCAGTTCAGATCGTGCCTCACTTTGCCCTGTTCTCTCCAGTGCTGTTCCTTTGTTCCCTGTGCTTGTATATCCCCTGTGGATTGCTGTGTGCCATAATCCTGCCACATCTGTCCCTGATGGCTACAGCTCTGCCTTCTGCAGGGGGTCAGCTCTATAAGGTGGTTGGTCTGAGCCCTGCCCCGGTACTTGCTCAATGTGCCAGGTGGAAAGGCACCACCCTGCCACCTCCTGCTGAGAAACTTCTGACTTTGATTTCTCTCGGAGACATGAGGATGCTACTGGGTGGTGGGATGGCTCTGGGAGATGTTTTGGTACCATGTTGGGGAAGATGTATGGGTCTGAAAGCTTCCCTTCAAAAGTGCAGGCAAGAGGTGGACTTTGCAGAGTGGCTGAGTGTGAGTGGGGCTGCTGACCTGCTCCAGGGAGGGCAACAAACCCCTTCGCCTGCCTCTTACCCCAATGATGTGATGTTTGAGGAAGATGTCTGGGAGTTTTGTCATGTAACACCAGTAGGTTGTCTTTTTGCTGGGAACTACAATGTCAGGGGCTGTTATCTCCGTGGTCTCCACGTTGCTGGGCAGTTCAGGAATGGTGATGTTGGGCTTTAGCAGCTGCACCCTCTGCAGCCCCCTGTGGATGGCAGAGATGTTGATGGCTTGGAGAGAACGGACAGGTTTCTGCAGGATCCCATAGATGAGGTGCACAGTGCCATCCTGAAGTGAGAAAAAAGTATATCAGGTAGTTTTTAATGCAGGAATGTGAACTGCATGGACTATTAGCACCACTATTGGTGGCATAAATCCAGAAATGGGCCTTTTGACCCATCCCTAGATAAAAAACCACCTCGACTTCACCAGTAGCTCACTTTACTGTGCTTTCTCAGAAAGACTGTAGATTTGAGGGCATTTATTTGGCTGACATGATCAGAGAGTTCCCTACCAGTTGGCAGAGTCTGAAAACTTTTTCCTAGATGGCATCAGGTCCATCACAGTAACATCTCCTCTCTGCTCTTCCAGAGCCCTTTGTCTCTCCTGGGCTCCAGGCTGGGACAACCATCTCATGGAGGAGCAGTGGATGCAGACACACAGAGACTTCACCAAGCCACAAACAAGCAGCTCTATTTGCCATCCCTTCTCACCAGCCCCTGCCAAAACCCTCTGTTGTGGTTTGGGGACAACATGACAACAAAGGAACAGCCACGTGGCTGCTCACTCACCTCACCCCACACACACACACACTCTGGGATGAGGAGGACAAAGCTCATGGGTTGAGATAAAGGACAAGGAGGGTTTTTCACTGATTAAGGTCCTGGGCAAAATAGACTCAACTTGAGGAAAAAATAATAATTTAAATTCACACTAATCACACACACACAGGACACAGACACACCCAGAGCAGGGCTTGCATATGTTACCCCCAGCCCTCCCTTCTTCCCAGCCCTAAATCCCTTTGTTCCTGGTTTCTCTCCTTCCCCCCAGCAGCACAGGGGGATGGGGATGGGGTTTAGAGTCAGTTGACAGGCTGGTGGTTCCTGCTGCTCCTTCCTCCTCAGGGAGAAGGATTCCTTACACTCCTGCCCTGCTTCCCCACGGGGTCCCTCCCACCAGGTCTGGAGCTGCTCCAGCCTGCCCACAGAGTCCTGGTTCCTCTGGGAACAAACTCCCCTTGTGCCAGGGTCTTCCAGAGCTGTGCAATCAGAGTCCACAGGCAGCAAATCCACTGGCCGCAAAATCCAAGCCCACTGGCCAAGGTCACCCCTCCTGGAGCCTTCAGGGAATGTCCCACCACGTTCCTCCAGGAGTGCAGGGGCACAGCTGCCATCTCACCATGGGTTGCAGGGAAACTTCTCCTTGGGCACCTTCTGCCCCTTCCTGCTCATCAACCCCCAGCACAGCTCTTGTCCTCCTGCACAGCTCTTCTCCCTCAAGTGCCTCTCTGCTCAGGTATTATAGCTGTTCTTTTGTATGTTAGTCCCTGAGGCACATCTATTGTCCCTCTAACGGACCTTTGGCTGGGTTTTGGAAGCAGAGGGAGCCACTCCTGTGGCCCTTTCCCTGCTACCAAAACACCCCACCAAACCAGAACACCCTCCTCTTTGCCTCCTGTTGAACACCAACACCTCTTTGTAACACCCCAAACACTTGGCTCCAGCCTGCAAACCAGAGTGATGCAAGAGGGTATTTATATAGACCTAACACATGCTGCACAGGAGTGGATTATGCAAACGAGCTAAAATCTACACTTTCTAGAGGTTTATAAGGGGTTGTGAATAGATCGTGCCAAACATGACTCATGTCCCATGGCTGACAACTGTAGCACACTTCCTTCCTGCCCCAGACACCATAAACACCTGATGCTGTTCCCAGAACAAAACACAGGAGGATTGAGCATGCAGGTTAGGGTTTGAAGTGCTGGGACAGGGCTGAGGTGATGCCATACCTCTATAAGGTAGTCCCTGGGGTCACAGGTGCTGAAGGGTCTTCTGAGGAGGAGGTAGAACCCCTCGGGAGCTCTCCGAGACCCGAGGAACTGGTAGTCCTGCTGGGAGTCCATGTGGAGCTGCCCCTCTTCATCACTCCAAGCATCCTGTGGGAGGAAGAGCACCCCACTCAGTCCGAGGAGCCCACGAGAGGAACCTCCAGTGCTCATTACGTCCTCCTCCTGTTCACCTTTCAGTTGGTTTACCCTCCACCACCCAGAGGAGGAGGAAGCCTGAGTTTTGGTTGCCCCATGCCCCACACCAGCAGCCCATGGGCAGAGCACATGGGTGGGCAGAGGCAGAACTGTGAAATATGTCACCCAGCATTAATGTGCTGCAGAAAGACCTTTACAAGTCGAGGTGTGACTGGGGGAAAGGAAGCAGGGGGAAGGAAGCCTGCAGGGACACATGATGGTGCTGCATTGGTCTGTGCTGTGTTCAGGGTATATTTGGCTGATGGGACATTCAGGGGGGTTGGTGGTGATGTGCTCTCCAAGACCCTTGCCACAAACCAGCTGCTTCCAATTTCAGATCAGACCCTTGCTGGGCTGTAGTGTCAGCTCTAGGAAGCACTGCCCATCTTCAGCATCCTTAATTTGTTGTGACCAGATCGTTCTGCCAGCCCAGCAAGGCCTCCCCAAAACTGCTCCCTGTTGATGCCAGTGACAAAGCCACACCAAGTAGCAAAACAGTCCTGTGCTTAAGGATTTGAAGGTTTGGAGTATAAAATCCTGCAGCAATTTCAATTTGAACAGTGTTGTTTTCATAATCTTCTGCATCTCCCGTTGTTACCTTTTGTTTACTGGGAAAAGGCACCTAAGAACTACTTCAGTGTACACACACAGTGGCATGAGATCTCTTATCTTGGGGTGAAAAAAACAGAAGGAAAAAAATAAAGCATCTTGGCATCATTTCAGCTAGAAGCATAGAGTGGTATTTCGAGAACATATTGTCCTTAGAGGGGGAGAGTGAAATCAGCTACATGAAGTTAGCGTGACATTTGTTTTCATAGGAGTGTGCTGTGCAAATTAATCTCGTAGTACATGGGGGGTTCAGCACATTTGGATCTTTTTAACAGCTGACATGGTTCTCCAGAGGAAAGGCTGCTGGGAGAGCAAAAAACAGGACTGTAGAGATTTATAGAAATCTCCTTGCAGGGTGTTGTTCAGCCCCAAGTGAAAGAGAAAGCCCAAATGCTGCCCGGTGTTTAATTCAGGGCTGTTTGCCTTTCAGTGAGCACATGAAGGCAGATTAGAAATGATCCTTTATGCTTTTTTAACATGATGCTGTGAAACACTGTAGCACTCGGGCCACCACACATCCTGAATGGCTGGTAATTAGCAAGAAAACAGTACAGATAATAAGGTCTCCTTTTCATCCTTTCATTACACTGCAGTTCACATCGCGGCCGATTGTGAGAGAATGTATTTAATGGTTAATTTGAAGTAAGCAGAGATGTAAAATTTAACTTACTGGAAAGCCTCACACAGGGAAAAATGTGAGTTGCTTTCTGCAACCAAGTGGACCACAATAAGGTGGTGGTTGTTGTGTGTCCCCCCCTCATCTGCTACCACCAGGCATTCAAATATCACCCAAATACATCTGCAGGTTTGATTTGGGCTCAGGCCACACTGCTGGCAGGCAGCTGCCAGGTTGTGTTCCTGTGTCCTGTTGATCTCAGTGATAGCATCAAATGTGGCCACAGCTGGGTTACTGGTGCTGGCAGGAACAGGCTTCCTGGCTGGTAACTTTTGCTCTCTCTCAAAGTCATTAACAGGAGCTGTGGTTTGTTTTTAACATGACCAGCAGCAGCACACAAGTGACTCAAGTTGGTGATGGGTCCTGCATGTGTGTGGGTGTGAGCTGGGCTGTCCAACCTCCCCCTGGAGGTTCTGCTTCCACTCAGCCTTTCTGATGTGCTGCTGTTTTTATGCTTTTCCCTGTGGGTTTAAGGTCCTACACCAAACCCATTGTGCAGACCCGATCTGTGGGTCCCTCTGGGATACAAACCCTCAAGCCCTTTTGGACCCCTCTTCCACTGGAGCTGGTCCTTGGACCAGCCCCACTCTTTCAATCCGTGACCAGATTCACCCGCAGGGAGGCAACCCCAAAAGCAGCCATGCAAACACATGAGCAACTCACCCCAAAGTAGGAATTGTGCCCATCACTCCAGAGCACAGCCAGGTCTGCATTCTCAAACTCGCCTCTGTCCGACATCCCGAAGAGGAGCCCAAACTGCAGGTTCCTGATGAGGAGCTGGAAATGCACAATTTGCTCAGGATAGCTGACATTCCAGGAGAGCTCGAGCAGCCCCTGGGGATCCAGGGGCACCTTATAGGGAAAATCACTCTTGCGGGGTGCTGAGCCCTGCAGGACCACCACCAAGATGACCAGGAACACGGCGATCATGGTGAAGTACATGGATGCCACCTCCCGCAGCCTGAAGCTGGGGCAGGGCTTGCTCCCCAAGCTCTGCATGCTGGGCGGGACAGCACCACGCCTGGTTGTGCCCATTTATGTGCTGGCCCTCCTGGGCAAGCTGGGTAAGTGATGGTCTTTAATTGCATTTGGTTGTTGGGAAATTGGATTGTTGTATTGACCACCCCCCACCCCCCCCACCTTCTGGCCAAACACTTGTCATTTGCTTTCTCCCCTTAATTGGCTCTAATTGCACATGGACATTATCAATAGCAATTGAATTTGACTGGGCTGATGTTATTCACTCTTAAATCTTCCTTAGCAGCTGGAAAGGGCTGTTTATGTGCAAGCTGTCCCTGCATGGACATGCTTGGAGTGCCTCTCACCCAGCTCTGCTCTCCCAGGAGCAATCCCAGCCACAGCTCCCCGTGGCTCCCAGGCTGGGAACACTTGTCACCCAAAATGTGGCCAAACTGGGCAACTGCCACGCTGGTTTGGCTCCCATCGGAGGTCCTGCCTGCCTGGGCCTTTGGAGATGTTAAATATTTGTTATTTCTTTGCTTTTGTAGCAGCTGGGACTTTGGCACCAGTTCAAAGATACCTTTTGTCTCCTTCCCTCTTCTCATTTGTTTGAAGTCCGATGTGTTCTCTTTCGGTTATTAACTTTTCTGCCTTAATTGGAATGATAATGAACTGCCTTGAGCTCTTGGATCCACACATACTGCCTTGCTTTAGTCTTGGAGTTTGTGCTCTTGTTTTATTAATGCTGGCTCATGTGACAAGTGATGTTCTCAGGTACCTTCTGTGCGGAGTCCCCTCCGGTCCCCTCTGGGTCTTGGGTTTCATTCATGGTCCTTGCAGCAATGTCACGGGGGCAGATCCAGGTTTCCCAGCCTGTGTAATGAGAGGAAATAGATTCAGCTCAGTGCCCGGGTGTTTTAATGACTCATCAATGTGTGCATCTCCACGTTAAATTCGATGAGGTTTTACTGTCCTAAGACACAAAACCATTACCCGGGAACGCAGCAATTGATCGGGAAGTGTCTCTCCTTGTCGGGTGACCTGCTGGTTAGAGGTTTTGGTCTCTCGTTCCACTTTATCAGGCAAAAGGCCAGAGCAGGGAGGAAGACAGAGAGCTGAGCTCTCCCAGTTGAGCACATCCCTCTGCCCCATCTGGCACCCTGTGGGAGCAGGGCCCCAGGGTACAGCCCAGGTCCCACATCAGCTGCTGCTGGTGTCAGGTTTAAAAGCCCATGTCAGGGCAGCTTAACATGCAGGAGAATGGGGAAGCTCCCACCCTGCCAGCTCTCAGGGCTGTGCTCACAAGAGGTGTGGACTGAACCCCCTTGGGCTGGGCTTGCATGTCCACAGCTCAACCCATCTGCATCTCCACTCATCTCTCAGAAGGAGGGGGCAGCATCCCTCCCTTTGCCTCAGGCTCCCGGGCAGGTTCCTGGATGTGCTGTGCTCTGAGATCCTTGTCTGGAATCATCAGATGGATATCTCTTGTCCTCCAGCCCTGGCCACCTGGGTAGACATCTGGTTGTTTTACAAAATCCCCTGGGAACAGATTTTTGCCTTGCTTCATTTCTAGCCTCCTCTGAGCACAGATTCACCCACTTTTCCTCTCTTGACTTTATTTCCTCATCATTAGGGGAAAGAAGCTGAGCTGCCAGCACAGCAGGAAGGCAAAGGATCCTCCCTGGGGAGTGGGATAGGGTCCTTAGCTAAGGAGTTCTCCCTCCATCTATTGCAGATAAACCTCCAGGTTGCTGGCATGTGCATGTGGAACTCCCGAGCTTGCCTGTACAGAAGGGATTTGTGGTGGAACAGCATAACATAGGCAGGTCAGCTTGAAAACAGCTGAACTTCGCAGATAAGCAGTGCAAATTTATTTAAAGAGAGAAAAAAAAATAAAAATTATGTAGATATCTCTCTCTCTCTCCCCCTTCAGTTCTCCCCACCCGTTGCTCATAAATCCCGGCGAGGAGGACCCAGCTTTCCGCTCAGTGCTCCGGGTGTTTATTTTAAGACTTCAATGAGATGTAGAAATGCCCGTTTTCCTGCCTCCCAACCTCGCAGCTCCCGGGACTGTGGCGGAGCAGCTTCCCCACCTCCAGCCCCTTCCCTCCAGCAGAGCAGAGGTTTTCTGCCCACCCACCAGCTGGCTCCGTTGTGCTGGCACAGGGACCATCCTGTGCTGGAGACAAGGCTCAGATGTCCCCACACCCTGCCCTGCTGCAGGCAGACCCTGCCAACCCCCCCCTGGAGGAGAGCTCAGAGTGCAGTGATGCCCAGGGAAGACATGGAACGTGCCTTCAGCCCCTGGAGAAGGGTCTCTTGAGGGAGCAGTGCCCAGATGTGTCCCCAGGCCCAGCAGCAGCAGTAAGCCCCAGCCTGGTGCTGCTGGCCCCATCTCCTGCAGAGCTGCACATCCAGACCTTCCTGGGGACGTGCTAAAGCTACCGTGGCCTTTCACTGCCACTGACAAGCCCGGATGCAAAGCCAGCCCTAAAGGGAGATAAGCTCTGTTTTCCAGAGCCCTGCAAGCAGCAGTGCCTGACATTTGTGACAGGGAGCTGGGGGGAGCAGCTGCCTTGGTCGGCAGGGGCTGCGTGCCTGGAACAAGGGCTGACTGTACAGGTAAGTAGGTTTAAACCAAATTGATGCAGCACATGAGGGGCTGCAGCAGGCAGCACCCCCCAGCTATAATCCATTGCCTCACTAACATAAATGGAAATTCAATTTGGGTGAGGGCAGGGAGGGAAGGGAAGCTCAGTGCCTGCTCCACAGGAGCAGCTCTCCTTCCCTCGGGGGCTCTGATGTTCCAGCCCCTCCGTGGCCAGCCAGCACCAGCATCTGATGTGCCTCAGGGATGGGGTCAGGCAGGGTCTGGCTCAGGCTGGGCATGGTGCAGCATGAGAAGGGGGAAGAGAAAGCTGGCACGTGGGGGGGGATGCTCCACTGGATAGGCAGTTGTGTGGGGTCCCACTGGCCCCCTGGTCAATACTTTGTGTGATTTCCCTGGCCAGACCCATCCTTCACACCAGAGTCACAGTCTGGACCAGCCCTGTGGTTCACAGGAACTGTCTGACATACTGACAGGGACAGGAGAATTGTTTATCATCCTTTTAAAAGGATGGCTGTGTTCACTCCTGTTCCCATAACAAATAAGGAGGGGTCTGCAGGCTGCTCATTGGTTTCTCATGCACTGAGAGGGTGCTGGGGCTGCAAATCTGAGTTTGCCCAAGTTAGGGAAAGGAGAGCAGCCTTTGCTCTTTGGGAAGTGCTGCCTTGCCAGGCAGCCAGACCCCTTCCCACCAGGCTGCTTGTGCAGCTCAGCATCCCAGAGAAATTCCCTCCCCAGTGCTGCTGCAGCTGAGCCACCTAATGTGATCTAGTGCCTGTGCATGCTATATTAGGGTTACCATGGATATGGTGCCACAAACACGGGGCTGTGGCTTTGTTATATAAACAGGAGAGATTGCCACAAGCACCCAAAATGTCTGAAAAGGGCAGGAGGAGAAAAAAGTGTTCTCTGGGTTGGATTGTAAAGGTCTGTGCGATCCAGTGGATAGTGCCAGTGGGAGGTGAGAAAGGTTTGTGTGAGCTTTGAGAAGTGGAGCCTGAAGGAGTGGTGGTCTTGGACTTGGTAACTCTGGAGACTCCCTCTGATCTTCAACAGGATCTTTCTGAAATGATCCCAGGAGTGTTGCTAGCTAGGCTGCTCCCTGCCCCTGCTCCTGCCCAAGAGCTCCCTGCAGACCCTGGTGAAGAGTGCATCATTCTTCATGCTCAAGATCATCCTCATGGAGCTTCACGCAGATCTTGGCCCCCTGGTTTCTGCCATGCACAAGGAGATCCTGCTGCTTGCAGCTGGTGGGAACCAGGACTGGTGATGGTGGTGGAGATGGGCAGTCATCAGCTCTGCCAGAACTGCCCACACCTGAGCCTGCTCTCAGGAAGACCAGCCAGCTGATCTTACACCATCTCAGGTACAGAAAGTCCCTTGTAGGGTTTGAGGAATCATGTAATTTAAAGAGGAAAAAAAACCAACCAAACTAGAAATGGAGGTGGGATGTAAGGGAGACAGAGACATCAGAGTGGCTAAAATTGTATTGCACTCCCACTCCCCTGCCAATAAAAACACCATAAATAAAGTGGCTTTGCAATAACCATCTCCATGCAGTGTAGCAGAGATTCACATGTCCCTGCAAAAGATGCCCAAGCAGGATAAACCCTGCTCTAGCCTTGTTCTGCAAGAGAGCCCTGACAAGCTCACTTCAGTCCTACCATGGGCATGGCTTTTCTCTTCCCAGCAGTTGTTACCCCAGGCTCCCAGTTTCCATCCCTGCTTCAGATCCCTTGTGGCCTTTCAGATGCCCTTCACTGTGGGACAACCATTCACCCACTTGTTTTCTCTTCTGCTGCTCTCCCTGTGAGCCCAAGCAGACATCTTTCCATGCTTCATTTTCTGACATGTGGTGGAGAATATCAAACTCAGTAAGAGCAGACCAGCTTTATAATTTAGATCCACAGCAAATCCAGTTTTTGCTGTTCAGCTGCAGGTCACCCTGCATTAGCTGTTATCTCTGATTTAGCAGGACCCATCATATCTTTCATGAAGTGAACCCTTGAGTCTCTGGAGCAGTGGGAAACAGGAGTTCCTTGATTTGGTAGGAAACAACAGCATACGGAGCTGAAATCTGGGGCACAGGCCCAGGGGAAAGACTGTCTGCCATGTGAATTTTCAGGGGGGTGGGCTGGTGCTGAGCCCTTCAGCATGGGGCTCTGCTCTTTGATGCCAGCCTTTATTGTTGCTTTTCCTCTAGCTGTTGCCTTCTGGCACTAAGCTGCTTCCTGAAGATTACACAGCAAGCCAGGATGAACATCAAGAGGAGCCAATCCAGGCAAGAACACAGGGCCAAAAGAACCTGAGGAGTTTGAAGATGGAGCCTTATCAGCTTAACAAAAGGGTTGGCACATTAAATGAGCACAAGCTGCAGGCCCTGCATGCTTAAGGTTTGTAACAGACAAGTCAGCAGAAGGTCTAAGAAAGGTAGAAATAGTGAATAAATATGATTTCCTTCAGAAAA